GCACGCGGTCTAGAATGGAAGCGCAAGTCGTATTCTTGGTACTGGTATACAAAATCCAAATTGTAATGTAAAAATAACTGGGAAAAAATGATAAAAACGGTCTTATACTTAAGATGAACTATACTCTCACTGAAAGTAATATTTTGGGAAAGAAAGATGCAGAAGTTGACTTTGATTCGATATGCACCAATAATATAATCTTCGTATATATCCTATAATGCAGAATTGTTAAAATAATGCAGGATTGTGCAAATTCAGACATAGTTGTAGAAATAAATACCGAAAACTAGTATCTTATGAAGCTATATAGTTCGGCAAATATGTTAGGTATACCGAAAAGCAAACTTTAAAGAAAGGCTTAATGTGCGTTGTTATACTCATTAATATCGGCGAAACACAAAACTTCAACGCCAGAACAGTAGCCAGTTCGTTTTTCTCGCAAATAATCTGGAATATAAGTTATGAGGGTACTTACAGCCGTATGCGCTAATTTATTTCGATTAATCTTTAAAATATATATCGACATTTTCCTATTCAAAGTGGTCATTATCCCCCCCCCCCTCCCCCACAATATAGCGATATTTTACGGTGACTATTGTATACTGTAATGCACGAGTTTCTCGACTTCAGATATTTTCTATTGTATAGAGAACAATAGAACAATAACCGGTCGGTATCTATTTGCAGACCTGTTAACCGGTCGGTAAGTGATTTACTAGACCGCTTTTAACAAAGGAGCCGGTAGGTAAGTGATTTACTAGACCACTTTTAACAAAAGAGCCGGTAGGTAATGTATTTTGACCGTTAGACTATGTATAGGATATCGACCGAGTACGAGGTCTTTTTGTTTGGGAAAGATCTGGTCACGAATTTCATGTGACACAGAGAGCGCGTAGCGCTCAAAGTGTTTCATGAAATTCGTGGCCAGGTCTTTCCTAAACAGAAAGATCGATGTACGAGGCCGATACCCAACTTACACACCGTTAAAACTATATCGGTTCGAAGCATATGATGAAATGCACAAATTTTTTTTTTAACACGATGCATATACAGGTAAGCTTTTATCAACGTTCTACTTAATATACAATGTAATATATACTTTGCTTTCCCCTTAAATATAAAAATTTAAAAATGCTAAATGTGCATTTTGTCAATAATAAAATGAATAGATCTGTAATAGAAGGTATGTTTAAGAATGAATAATTATGTTCATAGTATTTCGTATCATACAATGCAGATTCTAGGACATTTGCCCACGGACAGTTGTCCCCCGGACGTATGCCCCCTTTTTTGCCGTGTGACTTGAGACTTGTCATCTCGTGTATAGATTTTATGTATGCAAATGGAAACATTTTAGTTTTATTTACTTATGGATGCTATTTGGACGCGAGAGTTTTTGAAATGTGTATTTAAGCACAATGAAATTTAGACATTAGGCGATGAATTATGGTAGCAAATAATTTAACAATAAAATATTTTTTAAAACAGGGAGTGGGGAGGGGGTACAAATGTCCGTCCCTTCCAAAGATATGAGGGGGCAAATGACCGCCATCGCAAAAAATTTTACTGTCAAGCATTTTCTTCTTGAATGTCATGATTTTTCACAGGCCCGTTATAGATTTTATTCTGTAAATTCACTCAAAGAACTTTTTAATACAATTCCATCAAAAAACATAATTGATTATTTAAAAGAGATAAACTTGTATTCTAGGATCTAATTGGCTCATTTCTATTGTCATTTACAATTTTTTACTCAATATTTTAAGCCTATTATAGCATCCGGCACGATATGGCCAGTTATGTGTTAACGTGCCGTAAAAATCCAAACAAACAAACAAACAAAGCAAAAAGGGGGCAAACTTCCGAAGGGGGGGGGGCAACTTTCCGAGGGGGGCAATGCGTGGATACCCAGCAGACCACAAAAGTATGGAAAGCCAAAGAACAATATCAGACAGCCATGGCGACTTACATCTGCATATTGTTGGCAAGTGTGAAATATATGAACTGAAACTATATTTTACAAAGCAGATTATAAAGTGTTCTAGAATAAAAAATGATCGTTCATCATAAAATGTTTTAAACTAAATCACTTATAGCTTTATTTACATTTTAAAATCGTAATGAGTATGGTGTGATTTCTGCTTTATAGTTTCATAGATATGAACTTAAATCATCCATTTTGTTATATTATGAACTTGATGACAGAATTACTATTACTTTAAAAAATGACGCGATTAAATAAATAATAGATTTGTCCTAATTTTGACATGCTATCCATTATTTTTATTGAAAGATTTAATTAAGGGATGCTGGAATAATTGCTTAGTTAAAAGGGTTTTATTTTTTATTGCATTTCATGTTTTCTTTGTATGCGCATAGGCAGGTCTACTTTTTTCCACGTGTATTTCATGACCGGGGGGTTTGCCCCAGGACCCTTGGCAGGCAAAAGATAGAAAAAGGGTTTTTTTTTTTAAACATTCATCAAAAAATTAGACTGCCCAAAAACTAGAGTAGGGTTTGAAAGGAATATATTGGGGTAAAAATTAAAACCTGGTTAAAAACAATTTTACTCTCCCCTACAATAGATTTTCGGAATATTTAGGCCTGGGGTGGCAATCCTGGGGGCATAAAAACTCCAAAACCGGTTTTTAAATAGCCGAATAACCGTTTTAGGGATTATTTTTAAACAGGACTCTTTTAAAATTTTTACTGTAAGTTTTATGCCAAACCCTGGAATTAGAAAGGGGTGTACAGAAAAGATGAGGGTACAAATTTTAAAAATTTATTTGATTTAAGGGTCTGTTTAAATTTTTTAGCTCGCCTTGTTTTTCTAAGAAATGGAGGACTTGCGGTTTGAAATTCCTGAAATTCCACAAGGTTGTATTAGATATAGGGGGAAAACTAATAAACTATATTTGTATAATGATTATTGTCGCAATGAAAGGCGATTTAAAAACGTTAAGTTTTTATTGTATGTCATGAACGATAAATTAATTTAACTTGGGATATAAATATATTTAGAGCTATTTTTAACAAACTTTAAATGCGGAAATCACAATACTTATAATTATATCCTAATTAATTGGAAAAATTAAAGACTATATTCTTTAATTGGTCAAATCCCGGGATCCCTATATGTTTTAATACGATCCCAGCTTTTCTGAAAACTATATTCTTTAACTGGCCAATACCCGGGATCTTTATATATTTTAATACGATCCCGGCTTTTCTTAAAACTATATTCTTGAACTGGTCAATTCCCGGGATCCCTATACATGTATATTTTAATACGATCACGGCTTTCCTGAAAACTATATTCTTGAACTGGCCAATTCCCGGGATCTTTATATATTTTAATACGATCCCGGATTTTCTTGATTTGTTTTGATTTGATTGGGTATTTTACGTCACATCGACAAAGTATAGGTCATATCGCGACGTTCAATTTCCGGGATCACACGATCCCGGCTTTTCTGGCTAAATTATTTGACAACCTTTTCTTATTGCATATATATATATATATATATATATATATATATACTCTTTGTGACTTCCATTGCCATTATAATTATGTACCTACAATATTAAATAAGATTTTGTGTGTGTGACATTCTGAGGTCTATTTGTTAACGCCTTTGTCTGAAAAAATACGTTAATTTTCAAGATTTTTATAACTACTACAAATCAAACTTATTTAAAAATCTCTACAAAAACATTCAAATAATAATAATAATACACCGAGAGTAGGTGGTCAGTTCCCGGGATAACTATATGTTTAAAACGATCCCTGATCCCGGCTTTTCTATAGGCGATCCCGGGATTTTCCCCTACCTCATTAATGGCGTAATTGAAACAAAGGGACAAAACTGATGGGAAACGGTTAAGGCAACAGCTAATTAAAGTCCGGCATATTTCGCGAAAACTACGAACGTGCGCCCCCCTGGTATCAAAATGTGATGTGCAAATTTGCAATTCGTATTATGCTTGCTTTCAACTTGCTTGGTGGCTGATTGCATCTTTCATTTTGTGTGGTCACATTGTGTGTATTGTTCTAGGAGCATTTTAACTGTGCAATGTTGAAATATCAAAGCTTATATACAGTCCCGGCATGTTGAAATATTTCATTACGCTACATTTCCATATAGACATCAGGGAGTAAACACCAAACAAGTTGTAACTTCCAGCATACATGGTATCATTGTCAACAAGCGTGATGTAAGTGAAAGCATGCATAATGACTGTACCAATAAGCACAATAGCAGTGTCAATGAGTAAATTGTTACAGTAAGTAGGCAGTGTATAATTGTCAACAAGCGTGATGAAGGCGCAAGCAGGCATTATGTATTTTTACCTCAATATCATTCCATAGACAATCATCTTAAGTAGTATTATGCCCATAAATGTTTAAATTTTGAGTATACAGGTAAAAAGTCAAAATAATTTTATGCTCTCAACGTTATATTTGATTATGCAATAATAATAATAATAATAATAATAATAATAATAATAATAATAATAATAATAATAATAATAATAATTATTATTATTATTATTATTATAATACTAATAATAATAATAATAACAATACTAATAATAATAATAATAATAAAATATTAATAATAATAATAATGATAAAAGAGACCTTAGGATATTTCGATAAGATCGTTCAGAATTTTCAGGTAACATTCAAGTGATGAAACGATTCGAGCTACTCCTTGCTACTGTTTAGTTGGTGTATGTATTGTATTCTAAAAGTGACATTATGCCCATCGAAGGGAATATAGTGAGTGAGCCGGTGAACGTCAAAATAAATTTACATTTTCTTATAATTCAATTCAGTTTGAGAAGTAACTACCTAAATCATTCAGTTGGCTCGAAGTCATTTTTTGAATATCTATTTTTCTTTTTTTGTGATGTTTAAACTTTTTATGTTTTTTTATAAATGTAAATCTTAGTTAAAATTGTATACAATGTAGGTAAATAGCGAAATTGATACTTACTGCTTCGTGTAGTGAATTACAGCCAAAAGAAAACGAGTAGCTTCCGTTTAAAAAGTGAACATCGGTTTTACACAACTGCAAATAAAACGGCAGTTAAACATTGTAATTGTTTAAAATAAAAATGTTGAAATCTGTGAAGCATCCTTACATTTTATTATGATTTAAAACAGAACTATAGTAGCTTTGAAAATGGTTTATTTCAAAAGTGCATTATTACCACCGGCCCAGTCCATACTTATTATTACAAAAACAATTTTAAATACAATAGCCTATTGTCCATGGTAGCTTGTTAAGATAACAGTACATCACAAAATATATATGTTTATATAGATTTGTATAAAGTACAATCTACATATTGCCATAGCAGCATGGATTCAGGCGAGGAAGATCGTGTGAGGATATTTACTTTTAACAGTCTTGCTCGTAATCAAGAAAACTTACATACAGCATTTATAGATCTTTGGAAAGCTTTTGACTTTGTTGATAGACAAATGTTATTTCACAAGTCAACGAGAAATATACAAGATCTTTGCCAAACGTTTTATTCATAATTAATGCATGAATGCAGTTATGTGTTACTTTTTAAATACCATAATACATTTATATAAGCTTAATTCATTAGTCACTTTAGTGGCATAATAGTTTCTTGTAAACGTTGGTACCTTGTTTTGTCTAAGGTTCTGATTGACCGGTACACGTGAATCAGTGGGCGTAATGTCAGTTATATTGCTATTTTCTTTATATATAAATATACATATATATAAAATAGCAACATAATTGATATATGAACATCGAAATTCAAAATTTTCAAAAGTTGAATTTCGAGTTGGATTTGAATTTCGAGCCAGCTCGAAGATCGAAATTCAAAATTTTCAAAAGTTGAATTTCGAGCTGGATTTGAATTTCGAGCCAGCTCGAAGATCGAAATTCAAAATTTTCAAAAGTTGAATTTCGAGCTGGAGTTGAATTTCGAGCCAGCTCGAAGATCGAAATTCAAAATTTTCAAAAGTTGAATTTCGAGCTGGATTTGAATTTCGAGCCAGCTCGAAGATCGAAATTCAAAATTTTCAAAAGTTGAATTTCGAGCTGGAGTTGAATTTCGAGCCAGCTCGAAGATCGAAATTCAAAATTTTCAAAAGTTGAATTTCGAGCTGGATTTGAATTTCGAGCCAGCTCGAAGATCGAAATTCAAAATTTTCAAAAGTTGAATTTCGAGCTGGAGTTGAATTTCGAGCCAGCTCAAAGATCGAAATTTAAAATTTTCAAAAGTTGAATTTCGAGCTGGATTTGAATTTCGAGCCAGCTCGAAGATCGAAATTCAAAATTTTCAAAAGTTGAATTTCGAGCTGAATTTGAATTTCGAGCTTGCTCGAAGATCGAAATTCAAACATTTTCAAAACCCGAATTTCGAGATGGATTTGAATTTCGAGCCAGCTCGAAGATCGAAATTCAAAATTTTCAAAAGTTGAATTTCGAGCTGGAGTTGAATTTCGAGCCAGCTCGAAGATCGAAATTCAAAATTTTCAAAAGTTGAATTTCGAGCTGGAGTTGAATTTCGAGCCAGCTCGAAGATCGAAATTCAAAAATTTCAAAAGTTGAATTTCGAGCTGGATTTGAATTTCGAGCCAGCTCGAAGATCGAAATTCAAAATTTTCAAAAGTTGAATTTCGAGCTGGAGTTGAATTTCGAGCCAGCTCGAAGATCGAAATTCAAAATTTCAAAAGTTGAATTTCGAGCTGGATTTGAATTTCGAGCCAGCTCGAAGATCGAAATTCAAAATTTTCAAAAGTTGAATTTCGAGCTGGAGTTGAATTTCGAGCCAGCTCGAAGATCGAAATTCAAAATTTTCAAAAGTTGAATTTCGAGTTGGATTTGAATTTCGAGCCAGCTCGAAGATCGAAATTCAAAATTTTCAAAAGTTGAATTTCGAGCTGGATTTGAATTTCGAGCCAGCTCGAAGATCGAAATTCAAAATTTTCAAAAGTTGAATTTCGAGCTGGATTTGAATTTCGAGCCAGCTCGAAGATCGAAATTCAAAAATTTTCAAAAGTTGAATTTCGAGCTGGATTTGAATTTCGAGCCAGCTCGAAGATCGAAATTCAAAATTTTCAAAAGTTGAATTTCGAGCTGGAGTTGAATTTCGAGCCAGCTCGAAGATCGAAATTCAAAATTTTCAAAAGTTGAATTTCGAGCTGGATTTGAATTTCGAGCCAGCTCGAAGATCGAAATTCAAAATTTTCAAAAGTTGAATTTCGAGCTGGAGTTGAATTTCGAGCCAGCTCGAAGATCGAAATTCAAAAGTTGAATTTCGAGCTGGAGTTGAATTTCGAGCCAGCTCGAAGATCGAAATTCAAAATTTTCAAAAGTTGAATTTCGAGCTGGATTTGAATTTCGAGCCAGCTCGAAGATCGAAATTCAAAATTTTCAAAAGTTGAATTTCGAGCTGGAGTTGAATTTCGAGCCAGCTCGAAGATCGAAATTCAAAATTTTCAAAAGTTGAATTTCGAGCTGGAGTTGAATTTCGAGCCAGCTCGAAGATCGAAATTCAAAATTTTCAAAAGTTGAATTTCGAGCTGGAGTTGAATTTCGAGCCAGCTCGAAGATCGAAATTCAAAATTTTCAAAAGTTGAATTTCGAGCTGGAGTTGAATTTCGAGCCAGCTCGAAGATCGAAATTCAAAATTTTCAAAAGTTGAATTTCGAGCTGGAGTTGAATTTCGAGCCAGCTCGAAGATCGAAATTCAAAATTTTCAAAAGTTGAATTTTGAGCTGGAGTTGAATTTCGAGCCAGCTCGAAGATCGAAATTCAAAATTTTCAAAAGTTGAATTTCGAGCTGGATTTGAATTTCGAGCCAGCTCGAAGATCGAAATTCAAAAAGATAAAATTGAGTTTAAAGAAGGTTATTGATGTGACCGTTGCCTATTTGGGTTATTTACCAGCTGTTAACTCCAGCTCGAAATTCAACTTTTGAAAATTTTGAATTTCGATCTTCGAGCTGGCTCTAAATTCAAATCCAGCTCGAAATTCAACTTTTGAAAATTTTGAATTTCGATCTTCGAGCTGGCTCGAAATTCAACCCCAGCTCGAAATTCAACTTTTGAAAATTTTGAATTTCGATCTTCGAGCTGGCTCGAAATTCAACTCCAGCTCGAAATTCAACTTTTGAAAATTTTGAATTTCGATCTTCGAGCTGGCTCGAAATTCAAATCCAGCTCGAAATTCAACTTTTGAAAATTTTGAATTTCGATCTTCGAGCTGGCTCGAAATTCAACTCCAGCTCGAAATTCAACTTTTGAAAATTTTGAATTTCGATCTTCGACCTGGCTCTAAATTAAAATCCAGCTCGAAATTCAACTTTTGAAAATTTTGAATTTCGATCTTCGAGCTGGCTCGAAATTCAACCCCAGCTCGAAATTCAACTTTTGAAAATTTTGAATTTCGATCTTCGAGCTGGCTCGAAATTCAACTCCAGCTCGAAATTCAACTTTTGAAAATTTTGAATTTCGATCTTCGCGATGGCTCGAAATTCAAATCCAGCTCGAAATTCAACTTTTGAAAATTTTGAATTTCGATCTTCGAGCTGGCTCGAAATTCAACTCCAGCTCGAAATTCAACTTTTGAAAATTTTGAATTTCGATCTTCGAGCTGGCTCGAAATTCAAATCCAGCTCGAAATTCAACTTTTGAAAATTTTAAATTTCGATCTTCGAGTTCGAAATTCAACTCCAGCTCGAAATTCAACTTTTGAAAATTTTGAATTTCGATCTTCGAGCTGGCTCGAAATTCAACTCCAGCTCGAAATTCAACTTTTGAAAATTTTGAATTTCGATCTTCGAGCTGGCTCGAAATTCAAATCCAGCTCGAAATTCAACTTTTGAAAATTTTGAATTTCGATCTTCGAGCTGGCTCGAAATTCAACTCCAGCTCGAAATTCAACTTTTGAAAATTTTGAATTTCGATCTTCGAGCTGGCTCGAAATTCAAATCCAGCTCGAAATTCAACTTTTGAAAATTTTGAATTTCGATCTTCGAGCTGGCTCGAAATTCAACTCCAGCTCGAAATTCAACTTTTGAAAATTTTGAATTTCGATCTTCGAGCTGGCTCAAAATTCAACTCCAGCTCGAAATTCAACTTTTGAGAGTTTTGAATTTCGATCTTCGAGCTGGCTCGAAATTCAAATCCAGCTCGAAATTCAACTTTTGAAAATTTTGAATTTCGATCTTCGAGCTGGCTCGAAATTCAACTCCAGCTCGAAATTCAACTTTTGAAAATTTTGAATGTCGATCTTCGAGCTGGCTCGAAATTCAACTCCAGCTCGAAATTCAGCTCTGGTTTACTTTGAATTTCGATCTTCGAGCTAGCTCGAAGTTCAAAGCTAGCTCGATATTCACTATAAACTGAATTTCGATCTTCGATCTTCGATGTCAGTGCTAACTTCTCGATACTTAAAATCTCTGTTTTTTGAGTCCGTTTAGTGACATTTCTTTATGCACATTGCATGTTTTGGACACACCAGAACCTACGACGGAAAGAATATCTCGATGAAGACTGCATATAAATCCAAAACAAAAATGGGTAATATAGAGGACAGTCAGGAAGGTAGAATCTAATTTCGATTTTCTTAAAAAAGGATTGAATTTTTAATAAATGTTTAAAAAGATGAAAACATATCCTGCAATTGACCTATTTTTCAGTCACATCTGGTGTTATGCTTCACATCTGGTGCAGCGGAAATTCACATATAATTTTTACCGATGCTCATTTTTGAGATACATATGGGGTTCCTTCCCCGTGAATAAAATCTTCTTTAAATTTCTGTCATTTATGTTGATTAATTTAATTTGCATTTCAAAGGTGCATACCCACTCAGCTAAGTTGCAATACTAGTATGCATTCATAAAACTTGAAGAATGGACGAGAAGACATACCTCATTACCACATGTGGTGTGTGTTGTACATGACGCCGGATCAGAGATATGCTTGCAGTCCAGGCATACTCTTGATATATGGGAATGTCCGTTAGTGCATAACGATTGTAGGAAAACTTAAAGTAAAAATAATGAAAGTATTATGAGTAACAATCCGTTGCTTTTTTACTGTGAATCTAGACGCTTTTTTCATAAATCAAATCTGGAGAAAATAATGTAGTATTTGACTTTAACTATAAATACATTCTTGTCTCAGATATAGGATAATAAATTCACATATATGTAAAGAATACATGTATGTATGGTAATTTTTTCTTAGCTGGACATCAGATGAAGACTAAGTTTATATTAGAGTTCATCTTTACTGTTCTATTCGAATTATAAACGTCGACGGGAATGACGTGACAGTTAAGGATGAAAACTAACTTAGTTAATGAGCTTAGTGGCGAATTCAGGCCTCGACATTAGCGGTGGTCCGTTGGTCCGAGACCACCTGATTTTGGCAAGGACCACCTAATTTTAAAATGCACTGGTCCGTCGGACCACTTGAATTTTCTGGTTTGTGCAAGGATCATTTGGGAGAATGGCGATTTGGTCAAAAACATGTTATATATATTTTGTTTAAAACCATTTGTCCTATGAACATGTATATGTTTCATTAATAGATTAATCAGATAAGTTAAAGAATGTCTTAATTCATCAATAACTTTCATATTAAGTCGCTAAAATTTTGTCTATGCAAGTTAAAAGAGTTAAGAATTTGTGATATTAAGCTAGGTACAAATTGTATTCAAATGATGCTTGTAATGATGCATCGTCGGATTACCACGCTGGAACCTTTAACATTTATGTTATGCTACATGTTAATCACACGTGGGTATCCGACGATGGTAATTATGATATTGTATGGGATACCGTATGAACTTTCAATTTCATATACATGAATAATGGCAGCAAACTAAAGGAACTTGAGAAATACATCAAGTTATTTGCTAGTTATCTTTATTTTAACTTTTTAACGCTAAGAGATCCATTTCTTCCAGAGTTAAAATTACTTTTTTTTAAATTTTTGATAAAAGGTTAAAAATACTCAATGTAAAAAATAAATATCAACCAACAAGCAACGGGGCGGTAAAAATTCTGTATTCAATAAATCTTAAAGTAATCTTATTCATAATAAATTTGTGAGAAAAATAAGCTAAACTATAGTTATATATAAAGTTGTTTTTATTTTTTATCCTTTAGATATTTCCTTGTTTAAGATAATTTATTAGTTTTTATTAAATTGTTAATCTATAAAAGATACATGTAATTATCATGATTATAAGACGTACCACGTATCAGCAATGTATATTTGAATAACAGTAAGAAAAAAACCCAGACACAAATGGTTTCACTATTCCCTAACTTGAGTTGAGACAGAAATCACTTCAATATATAAGTTAACACAAATAAGAGCCCTGTTGTGTATTTTTGAATAAGCTATGAAAAAACAACAAATAACTTCACGACAGAATACCTACTAACTTGCTCTCAGATAAAAGTATATATCTAAAATGTCTGTTTTCTTTAAAGCTTAATAATACATCTTTGTCATCAATTTTAAGCATACTTTTTTCTAAACTTACAGTAAACTGATCTAATAATAATAATTGACCACTTGACTTCTGGAAGGACCACCTTAATTTCAAATCTAGTGGTCCGGCTTACCACCTGATAAAAAAGTTAGTGTCGAGGCCTGCTTATATGAAGTCAACTGAACAATATATGATGTCAATGTGTCTTTATATGATGTCGACCAATCATTATACGATGTGCATTTATGAATATATGATGTGGTAGAATCATTATATACAGTCAACTTATCAATATATTATGTCAATCTTTCATTATAAGATGTGCATCTATTATTATACGATGTGCATCTATTATTATACGATGTGCATTTATGAATATATTATGAGGTTGCATCATTATATACAGTCAACTTATCAATATATTATGTCAATCTTTCATTATATTATGTGAATCTTTCATTATACGATGTGCATCTATTGTTATACGACCGCTGCTTTATATGAAGTGCAAACATCATTATATGGTGTGCTTCTGTCATTATACTGATGGGGTTAAATTTACCGGGTTATATCTCACTATGCACCGTTCGTGGCAACAGCGGGAAAACTCAAATTAAATTATATCATTTAGTGGTAAGCTGACTGTATATAAAGACAATTCTACATAATGTAGTGTTGTTTTGACTCTATATAAGAATGATTCCACATAATATATTCGTAATTGCACATCATATAATGAAAGACTGGCATCATATAAGGACACATTCACATCATATATTGTTAAGTTGACTCTATATAATGATGGTTCCACATAATATATTCATTAATGCACATCGTATAATGAAAGATTGACATCATATAAGGACATGTTGACATCATATAATGTTAAGTTGACTCTATATAAAGACGGTTCCACATAATATATTCATTAATGCACATCGTATAATGAAAGACTGACATCATATAAGGACATGTTGACATCATATAATGTTAAGTTGACTCTATATAAAGACGGTTCCACATAATATATTCATTAATGCACATTGTATACTGAAAGACTGACATCATATAAGGACATGTTGACATCATATAATGTTAAGTTGACTCTATATAAAGACGGTTCTACATAATATAATGTTGTTTTGACTCTATATAAGAATGGTTCCACATAATATATTCGTAATTGCACATCATATAATGAAAGACTGACACCATATAAGGACATATTGACATAATATATTGTTATTATGACTCTATATAAGGATGGTTTCACATAATATACTAAAAAATGCACATCGTATAATGATAGATTGACATCATATAAGGACGCTTTGACATCATATAAGGCTGAATCTATATAAGAATTATTCCACATAATATATTCATAACTTCACATCATATAATGGCAGACTGACATCATATAAGGACAGATTGACATCATATAAGGTTATTTTGACCTTATATAAGGATGGCTCCATATAATGCACAACGTATAATGATGGATTGATATCATATAAAAACACGTTGACATCATATATTGTTCAGTTGACTACATATAAAGATGGATCCACAGAATATATTAATGAGTGCACATTGTATAAGGAAAGGTTGACTCAATATATTGCTATATAATATAAGGACAGATTGACATCATATAAGGTTATTTTGACCTTATATAAGGATGGCTCCATATAATGCACAACGTATAATGATGGATTGATATCATATAAAAAGACGTTGACATCATATATTGTTCAGTTGACATATATAAAGATGGATCCACATAATATATTAATGAGTGCACATTGTATAAGGAAAGGTTGACTCAATATATTGCTATATTGACATAACAACATTTAGGTTTATAATTATAAGACAGTTAAGGCTTTCCATAGGGAAAACTCAAAGAAAATTGTATCATATATTGTTAAGCTAACTCTATATAAAGACAATTCTACATAATATAGTGTTGTTTTGACTCTATATAAGAATGGTTCTACATAATATATTTGTAATTGCACATCATATAATGAAAGACTGACATCATATAAGGACATATTCACATCATATATTGTTAAGTTGACTCTATATAAGGATGGTTTAACATAATATATTGGAAATTGTACATCGTATAATGAAAGATTGACATCATATAAGGACGTGTTGACATCATATATTGTTAAGTTCACTCTATATAGGGATGGTTTCACATGATATACTGAAAAATGCACATCGTATTATGATAAAATGACATAATATAAGGACGCGTTGATATCATATACTGTTGACTCTATATGAGAATTATTCCACATAATATATTCATAACTTCCAATCATATATTGACAGACTGACATCATATAAGGACAGATTGACATCATATATTGTTGTTTTGACCTTATATAAGGATGGCTCCACATAATATATTCAAAAATGCACAAAGTATAATGATAGATTGACATCATATAAAGGCACGTTGACATCATATATTGTTCAGTTGACGGCGTCCGTGGTCGAGTGGTTTAGGTCGTTGACTTCAAATCACTTGCCCCTCACCGCTATGGGTTCGAATCCCGGCATTATTTGGATTCTTTCATGTGAGGAAGCTATCCAGCTAGCTTACGGAACGTCGGTGGTTCTACTCAGGTGCCCGTTCGTGCCTGAAATACTGCACGGAAGGGCACCTGAGGTCTTCCCCCACCAGTAAAGCTGGAACGTCGCGATATGACCTATACTGTGTCGATGTGACGTAAAACTCAAAACAAACAAACGAACAAACATGTAAAGATGGATCCACATAATATATTAATGAGTGCACATTGTATTAGGAAGGGTTGACTCAATATATTGCTATATGGACATAACAACGTTTATGTTTATAATTATAAGACAGTCAAGGCTTTCCATATCTAAAGCTCACGGTGAATAAGTCTACGAAAATTAAATGTAAAATAGAAACAAGAATGGTTGAATTTTAAAAAGCCGGTAATAATCCTGTTATTCGAGGACATTCAGATGAAAATACCCCCGCACTACGGCTAGAAAAAAATTCGCAAAATAAAAAATAATAACAAACCAAAACCACAGCACTGATTCATATAAAGAAAATTATGTTTTGACGTAATTGTGTGATAAGTTATAGTCTGATAGGGTAAACTGCAGTTTTATAATTTCTAAATATCCTACGTGTTGTAAGATCGAGACCTCGTAAGTCCATAATTATACTTTTCTTATTCATAACTATTTTCAACATTATTGAAGCTATGATGTTTTATGTTGTATTTTTGGTTTCATAATATGTTTTGCACTGATTTTGGTAAAGACTATTCCTTTTTTAAATAACATAGTTTTTAAAAAGATTAATATTTAGAATTAATTCGGATTAAAATCAATAAATGTCATTTCAGTGTCGTAAAATACCATACAAAACGTGACAAATCAGTGTTTCTAAATTGTTTTATATCCGTGTAGACAACTTTTCAAGCACTTGGCCATTTTCATTAAAATGTTTCTTAAAAAATAGACAGTGTAAAGGTCTAAAA